CTGGGTGATAGGGTATTGCTATGCCCAACTGTTTCAGGCACCATTATATCACTCTCCATGGTGATTGTACCATTTTATAGTCCCACCAGCAGTATCTGAGAGTTCCTGGTTCTCCACCCCCTAGCCAACATTTGTTATGTTATGTTTTTTTTTAATATTCTTAATATATAAAAAGAACATTGGCTGTTTCCGATAGTGATTTAATTTACTCCCATCAGTCTTTTTTTTTTTTTTGCTTAATAAGATTTTTTTTTTTAATATTCTTAAATTATAAAAAGAACATTGGCTGTTTCCGATAGTGATTTAATTTACTCCCATCAATATTTTTTCTTTAGAGTGTTACTGGAAATACCTTTCTGACTAATTTTTTTTTTACCGAACTTAATATCAGGGTTCAGACTGCCAAGGTTCTTGGGTTCACTCTGCAGGCCAGTGTGTACACTGCAGTATACCAAGCGTCACACAGTTACAGTGCATTTTCGTTTCCCAGTTTGCAGATACTCAGTACTTTCTGCTGATTATCCAGGATCTTTGGTGGTTCTTCGTTATTACCTTTTTCTGTCAAATGTTTGTAAGTTGCAGCCAATATTTGTGGCATTAACTGGTGGAGTCAGCGACAATTAAATTCTTTTTCGTCTTAAATTGCTTTTCACTATGAACTTATCAAAGACCAAAAAAAGGACTTTTGGGTTCAAGTGCCTTATTATATCCTGTGTACTTACCACAACAAATGTTTGGAGAAAGGTACCAGTTTATTTCAACAAATGTATTAAGTACCGACTATCATATTTCATAGGTAGCTCTGGTGGAGCTGTTGAGTAAGCTAACCTCAAGATCTGGTTCAAATCCATTAGCCATTCCTTAGGAGAAAGTTTGGAGTTATCTTCTACCATAAAAATCTACAGCCTCGGAAACCTGTATAAAGTCACTAGGGGTTGAAATTGATATGATGGCAGTGGGGTAGTTTGTTGGTTTGTTTTTATTTCATGAGTCCTATGGCATAGCTGGTTATATATGGGCTACTAACTGTAAGCTATGTATCGTTCAAGCCCACCAGGTGCCCCTTGGGAGAAAGGTGAGGCTTTCTGTTTCCATAAAGATTTACAGCCTGGGAAAACCTTGGGAGCCAGTCTACTCTGCCTTGTAGGTTTACAGTGAGTCACAATTGGTAACATTCTATTTCATTGATTTTATGACGGGCATTTTAACATTGTCTCTCAAATCAAGTTGTCTTCCAATTAATGGCAAATCAGAGTGTACTTGATAACTCTTAGTGTTCTAAATACATACATGTTTGTGTATGTATGTATTCTAACCAGTGACACCATCGATTTGGTAAACTACGGTATATACCTGATATTAGGAAGATGAAGAGGATTGAAATCTGCTGTCAAGGGGATCCCAGCTATCAAGTTGATTCTGACTCAGAGATACCCTGTAGGAAAGGAGAGGATGATGCTTCTTAGGGTTTCTGAAACTAAATCTTTACAGGCACATGCAGCCTCATCTTTCTTGTAGTTTCTGATAGAATTTGAAATGCCAGCTTTGTATTTAGCACAACATTTAACTCACTGGCCTACCAAATTTAAGTCAAACTCACTGCCATCCAATCAATTCTGACACTGTGTAGTATTTTTAAGACTAAAATCTCATCTTTCTGCCTCAAAGCAGCTGGTGGTGGTTTGAACCACAGACTTCATAGTTAGCTGTCTAGTTCTTAGCTGACAGCGTCACCAGAATTCATTTAAATAGCTGTGTAAAAATAAAAATACAACACAATAAATGCTGTATTTGCATATGCTTGGAAACAAGAAATAAAGGCAGTCGGTTCCTGTTTCATTGGGAATTTATGTGTAAGGTAGAACGGGTACATAAGTTCTTATTTAGGCTTTGGCACGTTGGACTGCTAACCACAAGGTCAGTAGTTTGAAAATAGTCACACTGTGGGGGGAAATGAGGCTTTCTGCTCCCATAAAGATTTACAGTCTTAGAAATCAACCGTGGGTAGTTCTTGTCCTATAGGGTTGCTATGAGTCAACGTCAGTTTAGTATTTAGTTCAAGGAAAGATTCAGAGCCTTTTCAGTGATGTATAGCTGTACATGTAGCAAGTGCATGGGATTATAATGAAGAGTTTGTGGTCAGTATGAGTTAAACATTGTGCACGCTTGGTAATTCAAGCCCACCCTGACCCTGAAATTAAAAATGGGTGGTCTGCTCCCGTAATGATTTGCCATCTTGGAATTGCACTGGAGCAGCTCTGCTTTGTTGTCTGGGTCACTGGGTCAGGATACATTCAGTGGCATTAGGTTTGGGTTTGGTGTTCCCAGTTGATGCAAGCATTTCAAAGTGAAGAGGGGTTTATATCACCTTGGAATAAATCAAGGCAGCAAAAGGGGCAGCCGACCACACTGCTTTGAATGTGTGTGGCTCTCCATAGTCCCTCCAGTGCTCTGGTCCTGACAGATCACTGAGTCTCCCATTCCAGCATTGGATCTGGTCATTTTTTCCTGTTGCCGTGGCACCCAAATTGGAAAAATTTCTATCTCTTCGTCTTTTGCTTCATCAGTCATGACTGAACTAGTTTGAAACCATGGTGTAAAGGGCAAGTAGGAAATGCCCACATATTGAACATTTGTTATCTGGGGTCTGTCTTCAATCTCTCCGTGAATAATGGAGATCAGAAAAAATTTTACAGCTGAGCTAACTGGATGATGACTTGGTCATAGCGTGGCATGGCGTGGCGTTGTTGACTGGATGCACAGTGAAGTGTGCAGGCGTGAAGAGGCCTGCCACTTTGGAGGTGGGAAGTAGGGAGAATCTGCATATGTGCTGGGAGAGGAACAGGAGATCTGCTGCAGGGAAAGGCTTCGACTGCTTTTTTTTTTTTTTTCAGAGGGACTGCATCTCAACACTTTTGCTTAGGAAAATTAATCACAGTTGAATGTGGATCTAGAGCAATTCACTATAGATCAATGGAGGTTTATGTTTTAGGAAGTTAGTAAACTGACAAAAATCTTAGTAATACTATTTTATGGTTGCCATCTTACAAACTAAATCGTACTATCATTAAACCTAAACTATCGTCACATGAGTGACCTCAAGACTATGCCAGTGATCAGCAGGTTCCACAAGGAGCCTTCCTCGGACACAGTGGGACATAATAGGAGCTTTTTTCCCTCAAGTACCTCTAAGAACCAAGTGTATGAATTTGGGGAAATTTATTGTGGGTGTTTTTTGTGGATCTGTTGCGAAAAATGTACTGGTTCCATCAGTATTTTCTTGACCTTTTCAACATTACTGGATCTGACCTTTTAGCTCAAACTTTGTGTCTTGAGTTTTTATTAGTAAAAAAGAAAAATTATAAAGCCTTTTATTCTGCTGTCAGTTCGTTGTGAGGCAAAAAGCCGCCAACTTATATTTCATGGAATCTGGTGTGTAAGGTAAAGACTGTTGTGGTGCTAATGAAAAATTCAAAGCAGAGTCCGCTTCATTCACACTGAAAACCTTACAGTTATGCTCATTTGACATATCCCAGTTCATTTTTTGTAATCTTTTAAACAAGTTAATAAAACTCACTGGTAACTTGCTTTTTCAACAGCAAAGAATAGTGGTTGGATATTTTTGGTGAAGGTTTCTTTGGGGGACAGGAAGTTGATTGGAAATAAAGTTGTTTCATCTAAAAGAGCAAAGGCAGATGGAAATAAAGACCAAGACACACTTAGAACCAGTACTGACTCAGCAATCTCTAGATAGATGGTGCTCTTGCATTCCATGGTAGTCTGTCAGACTGAATTAGTGAGTTCTAGGAAGGATGCTTCTTTCACTTCCCTAAGACCCCCCATGTACAGTCCAGAGAGTTCCTTCGTCGGTCAGTGTATGTTACGGTCAGACACCAGTCTCCCGAAGCTGGCCAAAGTGACCTTTTGCTCTTAAAATAGCCACTGCTCTTGCTTTCATTACCCAAAGCTTAAAATTTGGCTTGTTAGAATGAGTTCTAAAATTAGGATTTTCATTTTGATCGATGGAACTGCTTCATTAAGCTCCTTTGTCAATTAAAGTTTTTTTCAAAAGCAAGATCCAAAATAATGGTTTCGGGAAAATAAACCCTTGTTAGGCTGCGACTTACCTACTACCCAGAAAGATGTCTCTCACTGTTTTAAAAATGTTTTATTTCACCATGCTTATGTATTTGAATATATTCAGTAGTTTAAAATACAAAATGCAGTTATTAGTCTATAACCTCTTGAAATTCCCAGCCGAGAGTGTTTTCTTTAGAAAGGCACACTCTTAAATAAGCTGGATTGTTAGGCAGTTTACCAGTCTACTGTACCTCATTGGGCATTCACTTGTGGACCTCTTTTCTGCCAACTAAAGAAACATTGAGCTGCTTTACTCCTCTGCCTTCCCACCCAGAAACCGTGTCAGCATGGTTGCCTGGCTACCTGCTCATGAAGGACTTGATTAATAACAAATTGGCAATTTAACGAGCCACTTCCATGATCTCCAAAGAAACCAAAAAACAAATACAATAATTAATCTTGCCAACCGAAGAAGAAGTGACTGCATGAAGTGAGTATGCTTTTTTGAACTGTTTACAGTAACTGGGGCATTAACTTACTGAAAGTTCCATTTAGGTAAAGCGGGCTTTGCTGAAGTTGAGCGGTCTGTGTATATTTGGATCTTGACGAATGGTGACTTAAAAGTAACTCCCCATACCTCAAGATGTAAATATACCCTTTAATCTGTAAGTTAAAGCCTAATTAATTGTAAAAAGGAAAATGAGAAGAAAAATTAAAAAGCATACTCGCTGCAATAAGACTAGAGGAGGACCACATTTTTAACAACATCCTCTAAATTTGTTCCTAAACTCTGGGAAGGCAAGTTTTGGATGCTATAGATTTTTGTGTGTTTATGGCATCTCTACAAACACAACCACAAATGAACCAGTGTAAACAAGTGAACTCTGAGAACAGAATAAGAGTGTCCAAAAATGTTAAAGATCAAATTATACAGTGGATTGCCCTTTTAAGACAATGTTTTCCTGTTGTTTATAGGTGACGAAGGACATGTAGAATTTTCTCATCTCTAGTACAAGTTGATTCATTTGTCTTGGCTCTTATTTCAGGTGTTAAGTTTGGTTTCACTGCCATCAAGTCAATTCCGACTCAGCGAGCCGCCCAATCAGACAGAGTAGAACAAGACAGAGTAGTAGAACTACCCCTGTGGGTTTCTGAGAGTATAAAATCTTAGCGGGAGCAGAAAGCCGCCTCTTTCTCCCTCTAGTAATAGGTGTATTTCCAGAGTTTTTCTGACGTTCTAAGACTTTTGTTCTATTGTGTTATGTACTGCCTTTAGAAAATGTCTTTTTTCTGATAGAACTTTTATAATTCTTATCTCTAGGCTCATACATTTATATCACACAGTGCATGAGGAATTGCTGATGTTTAACCGGCTTCTCTCTTTTTTTTAATGCGGAAGTACATGTAATTGAAACAAGGACTCTATTTCAGGTGCCCTTCGTTTCAAGAGAAAGATTATTGGATTAAAAGATGAGTTTTATAATCGCTACATAATGAAAAGCTTTTTATTTGAACCAGTGGTGAAAGCATTTCTCAACAATGGATCTCGCTACAACCTGATGAACTCTGCCATAATAGAGATGTTTGAATTTATTAGAGTGGTGAGTTCTCTAGTTTTTGATTGAGAAAACTTATTATGTAGTAATGAGTTTTCTTTTGTTGTTCAATTTGAGATTTTTGTGGGGGGACTTTTCTTAACTTGTCTCCTGTGTTTCCAATGAGCAATTTACTAATAATTCTCCAGCATTGCTGTGTGTCAGCATTGTGTGTGGCATGCTTTCAAAATACACTCCTCCAGATACTATCCCAGCTCTGCTGCCTTAGAGCAGTGGTTCTCAACCTTCCTCGTGTTGTGGTGATCCCCAACCACAAAATTATTTTCATTGCTACTTCATAGCTGTAATTTTGCAAATGTTATGAATTGGGCGACCCCTGTGAAAGGGTTGTTCGACCCCAAGGGGGTAACGACCCGCAGGTTGAGAACCGCTGCCTTAGAACCTCCTCAAGCAGGAGGACATCAGAATCCAGGATTGACTAAAAGAGCCAGTGTAAGGGATGCCCTTTTACGTTTCCTACAGTTGCCATCACAAAATAGCATCAAGTAGGTACCTTTAAAAAGGAAAAATTCATGTTCTCACTTTCAGAGATTGGAAGTCTTAATTGACCCATTAGCTAGGCTTTTCCCCTCCTCTCCCCTCCTCCCAACCTCGCAGCCTCCAGGAGAGGGCCTGCATTATCTCTTACAACCTCAGGAACTCACACAGTGTCTTCCACCTGTTTGACACACTGTCTCCATCCATGTCTGTCTGCCTTTCTAACCTGTCCCAGAAGGAATTAGGATTAGGGTTAATTTTACCCAGAGGCAGACCCCATTTCTCCAAGCCAGGTCGCATTCATAGGCATAAGGGGTATAACTTCAACAAACCTTTCTCAGGGATACAATTCAGTCCAAAACAATTGTTTATAAAATAAACTTCTTTGGTTAGGGTTAATAATTTACAATTAAGCCTCAATATGTTAAAATGTTTACCTATCTCAATTCTTTTCTATAGGAAGACATAAAATCATTAACTGCTCATGTAATTGAAAATTACTGGAAAGCACTGGAAGATGTAGATTATGTGCAGACATTTAAAGGATTGAAAC